GCCCTGCGTCCGTCTGGTCGCGTGGGTAGACACGCCAAATGCGTGCAAGAGCGCGGGAGAGCTGACGCGCTAAACATGCGCCAAGGAGAACACGAGACACGCCAAACGCGTGCCGGCACAGGAGGGAGGGGGAAGGACGACGAAGAGGAGCAGATGATGAAGATGATGCGATATATGTAGAATCGCGGGCTAATTCGCTAACCCTCTTCTTTACATTGGTGAGATCATAGCACCGTTAAGCTTTGTTAGGGCCCAGAGTGACAGCGAGGTGGCGAAGGTCATGAGGAATATTGGTTTGCGATGGCGAAGATGGTAGACTGCTCGTCGGGGCTTCGAAGGTGGCAGGCGCGCGGCGAAGGTTCGATTTACTACTACCCCCCTGTCGTCGGACACGAAGCTCCTGGCCAGCGTGATCTTGTCGTGCGTCCGCTGTCGCCATGACGCTAACGTGTCACGTGTCTTGAGATGTTCAAAATCTGTTTGCCTCTTCGGGCTCCAGGACTTCCTGATCACGACTCAGGACGGAAAGCTGGTCCTGGCGAAAGGCCCCGGGATCCAGAACCCATTTCCCTCAGGACCCGTTTGTTTCATGCAACGGTGTCGCGTCGCGTCGTGACGTTCCCTAGGTTCGCGTCGTGTCGACCGGCGGCGACCCCGCCGCCTGCGTTCAACGTTGAACGCCGCCGACGACCAAGAATCGGTCGATGTTGAACGGTTTGAAGTTTCGGAAGCGACCGATCGCTCCAGGTTCAGCGATCCCCGCGGTGTCACGAGCTGGCACCAGGGTCGACACGACACGAGCCCGCGGAACTTGCGTTGCCGGCCCACCCAGCCCATCTTCCCCGAGGCGCGGGGTCCTCCTCCTCCCCCTCCTTCTCCTCCTCCTCCTCCTCCTCCTCCTCCTCCTCCTCCTCCTCCTCCTCCTCCTCCTCCTCCTCCTCCTCCTCCTCCTCCTCCCTCCTCCCCCCCCTCCCCCTCCCCCTCCCTCCTCCCCCTCCCTCGTGCTGCGGGGTCCTGTGGCCCCGGGGCGCGCTCGCGCCCGCCGCGCTCTCGCTCTCTCTCGCTCTCTCTCTCTCTGTCGCTCTCCGTCCTGCTCCGTGCCGCCTCGCCCGCGACATGTCCAGGGACGGCCCACGGGAGGCAGGAGCGCCGACGGGAGGGGGGAGTGAATGGCTTCCTCCTCCTTCCCCCTCGACCTCCTCCCCCTTCTCATCCTCCTCCTCCCCTCCTCCCCTCCTCCTCCTCCTCCTCCTCCTCCTCCCTCCTCCTCCTCCTCCTCCTCCTCCTCCTCCTCCTCCTCCTCCTCCTCCTCCTCCTCCCCCTCCTCCCCCTCCGTCCCCCTCCTCCTCGACTCGGGCGCTGTGCACGGGCACCACCGCGAGCGGGGCCCAGATCTCCTCCTCCTCCTCCTCCTCCTCCTCCTCCTCCTCCTCCTCCTCCAACTCCTGCTCCGCCTCTCACCCCCCTCCTGCATCGACCACCAATCGCCAATTCATCGCGGGGGTGGCGAGGGAATGGGGAAGAGTCTGCCAAGTTGCTGTGACACGCAGCTGCTGGAACACAACACGTATCGTGTCCAACGGGTCTCTTACGCACGTGTTGGCCCGCGTTATGGCGAAAGTATCGCGCCAGAACGACTTCAATTTAGGCGTTGAATTCCGAGCCAACATGCTACGGGTTGCGTGTTCCGTACCACGGCAGTTAAGGGAAGAGGGGCGCGAGTCAGTTGTGCGAGAAGTAATGATGACGATGCGCTGCAAGTTCTCCATGGTTTTCTTGCGGCCACGCGCGTCACGAGGCAGGTGGCAGAGCACCGAGAGAGGCCGAAGACTGCGAGGACCTTAGCAGAGCGCACCCTGAGCGCATCCTGAGCCGATCGCCTCGGGACGTTATTCTCGCCCCGGAGAAACGGTGGAGGGGAGGGGACTTATAGATGATCTCAGAAACGCTGGTTCGGATGCAACCACTGGGAAGTTGTATTCTGACTTTGCCCTTGTCCGAATTCCAGTTGAATCCGATTCAAGCCCGCTCAATCTGGCTCCATCCCATGCAATCCGGCTGAACCCCGCTTAATCGTGCTTGATCCGCGGCCTGATCTGGCGTAGCAGCCCCCCAGTGGGGCGTACAGTTGGGGCGCTGAAGAATGAACCCTTTCCGTTGGGGAGGGGCTCGGTGTTCCTTGATTGTTTGCAGTTTGCCTTGGGGCATCCTGAGGTTTCCCATGTGAAATCGAAGCTTAACTCATGGGGCAGAGGGGCCTCGTCCCTTGTCTAGGGTTCCTCAGGTCAGCGCCCCGACCGTGGTCCTCCTTAGCCCGTGCGACGAGGACCTCCCAGCAGCTGCCTCCCAACGCTGGGGGCGCTCTCCCCCGCTCCCGGGGCCGACGCGCTCTTCTGTCAAGAGGAAAAGAAACACACAGACACAATGAATCCTCGATTCCTGCGAACATATGGGAACATATGGGAAGTGGGGGGGAAGACAGAAACCCAGAACATGTGGGAAGATATGGGGAACCTTCTTATTTGCGTGTATTTATCTGTGTGTCCTGGGGCCCCTTCGTTCTGTCCGTGCCGGGCGCACTTCCGATCACGTGCTCTGGCCCGGGGTCGGCCCTTGGCCCACCCGCGCGTTGCTTGCCTCGCTCTCGGCGCGCCTCTCCATGCGCTGCTGCGCATCACGATGCCTCCTCCTCCCTCCTCCCTCCTCCTCCTCCTCCCTCCTCCCTCCTCCTCCCTCCTCCTCCTCCTCCTCCTCCCTCCTCCTCCTCCGCCTCCTCCTCCGCCTCCTCCTCCTCCGCCTCCTCATCCGCCTCCTCCTCCTCCTCCTCCCTCCTCCTCCTACTCCTCCTCCTCCTCCTCCTCATCCGCCTCCTCCTCCGCCTCCTCCTCCTCGGGGCCGCATGTGAACCCTACCCCTACCCCCCACGACTTCTGAGGGGGAGGGGGGAGTTCACTTCGTTCGGGAGCTCCCGAGCGAAGTGAACCCCACCCTCTCCTCAGATGTCGTGGGGGGTAGGGGTAGGGTTCACATGTGGCCCCCTGCACAATCCAGGGTGTCGCTGTGAGAACGTCCGGGTCAAGAGCGAAACATGGACAGCAGGGGGGAAGAAAAAACGCCCGCAGCGTTTGCAAGAACAATTGAGGGAGGGGGCAGGGGGCAGCTCGATCCGATCGCTCTGGCCCGGAGTCGACTCCGGCCGCCCCGATCTGATCCGACTGCGGCATCCAAGCGATCCGATGCGGCCGATGCCCGCATCGCGTTGCTGTGCATCCTGGCGCGGCCGACCCGCTTCCGCCTCGACTCTGCGCCGATGCAGCTGGAGCCGACGCACACTCCGATCCGCTCCGACGCCCCGATTCGATGTCGACTTCCTGACCCCGTTGGGGGGGGGGGGGGGGGCAGGGGAGGCGCTGGATGGGGAGGCGAGGGGAGGAAGCGGGGAGGCGAGGGGAGGCGGGGAGGCGCTGGATAGGGAGGCGAAGGGAGGCGAGGCGAGGGGGGTGGACGCGCGGAAGTGGCAGGGGAGGCGCTGGATGGGGCAGGCGGGGGCGAAGAGCGCGTGGCGGGGGGAGGGAGAGCGGCCCCGTCCTGCTCCCTCCGCCCTCTTCCCGTGCCTGTCCCGCCCCCTCGCCATCGTTCTGCCTCGTCCTTGTCATCATCGGCATCTGCATCGGCACCCGAAGATCGGCACCGGCACCCCAGTCCTCCTCCTCCGCCCCATCATCCTCACCATCATCCGCCCCATCATCCTCACCATCACCATCATCCTCACCATCCTCCGCCCATCCCCACCTTGCCCCCCACCAGCCATCCATCTCCAGCGAAGCGAGGCCTGAGATGCTTCGCCGTGCTCGGCCTCTCTTGGGGCCCCCCGCGGGCCCCAGGACCGTGACGACCAGACGACCCGGGAGGAAGAGCGGGGCCCGGGGAAACCCCCCAGGGGGGTCCGGAGCCCGCCTCGAGACCGCCTTCTTGCCCGTGAAGCCCGCCACGTCCGTGACCGGAGGAGCCGCCCCCCGGTGGCCGTGTGCGCGCCACCTCCCCCGGCGGCGAAGCGAGGCGGGCCCCTCCCCGCTCGTGGGGGGAGGGGCGGGGTGCGGGCAAGGTTCGTCTCCATATCCAGTGCGTCTTGGATTTTTCGGGGAGGGAGCGTCACAAGGCCGAGGCGCACTGGATATGGATAAGAATCGAGCCTCTAGGGGGCAAGTTTATCCACATCCAGCGCGCCTCTGGTTTCTGGGGAAGGGGACCCGAAACTCCATATCGCAGTGGACATGGACAGAAGTACTGCCCGCACGGGGCGCACCCCGGGAGCCAGGCCGGGGCCTCGCCGGTGGGCCGGGGCAGCAGCCTCGGCTCGGGCGCTGCGCACAGGCACCACCGCGAGCGGGGCCCAGATCTCCTCCTCTTCCTCCTCCCTCCTCCTCCTCCTCCTCCTCATCCTCCTCCTCATCCTGCGTCTCCTCCTCCTCCGCCTCCTCCTCCTCTTCCTCCTCCTCCTCCTCCTCCTCCTACCCCACCTCCTCGTGTCCTCCTCGTGTCCTCCTCGTGTCCTCCTCGTGTCCTCCTCGTGTCCTCCTCGTGTCCTCCTCGTCCTCCTCCTCCTCAGGGCAAGGAGGTGGCGGAGGGAGGGGAGGAGGGTGCCAGGCGTGCGCACTGCCCTGTCGCTCTGGGCGGCACGTGCATCTGCCCACCGCTTCTCCGTTCTCGGCCGAGGCCGTGACCCTTCTGGAGGGGAAAAAACACAGACACAATTAATCGTCGATTTCCAGAGCAAATATGCCAAAATATGGGAAGTGGGGGGGAAGACAGAACCCCAGAAAATATGGGAAACTATGGGGAATATTTTTATTTTTGTGTGTATTTATTTGTGTGTCCTGGGGCCCCTTTAACCCTGGAGGGCGTGGTCGGTTCGATGGTATTTCTGATCCATCGGAGTGTCACGGCAAAGCGCGGCTCTGTTTGCCGCACCTTCTCACTGAGTCACTGTGGACGTCCGCATGGAGGCTTGCCGCGGTGCGGCTAGAGGCGTCTCAAAGGCTAGAGGCGTCTCAAAGAAAGAAGCAGGAGGATGAGAGGGGGTGAGGGGGATTCGAGCTGGACTGCTGCTAGCCTCGCCCGCTACGGATGCGACTGCGGGGGCAGGTGCGTACGAGCCGAAGTACCCGATGCTGAGACAAGGCGGGCCCCGCACTGCTGTTTTGCCGATGCTGCTTTTGTCAGGAGGGGAAGAAACACACAGACACAATTAATCGTCGATCCCCAGGAAAATATGGGAAAATATGGGAAGTGGTGGGGAAGACACAAACTCAGAAAATATGGGAAAATATAGGGAATACTTTAATTTGTGTGTATTTATTGGTGTGTGTTGTGGGCCTCTTCATTTTGTCTGAGAGAAAGCCACAAGCGTAAACGGTCGGACTTGCGCGCGGAGTTCTGGGATCGGCAGTGGGCCCCCCTCCTGGCGCGCGGAGCGCGCCAGTGGGGTCCAGCGCCGATCCCAGAAATGCGCGCGGAGCTCCGAACGTGCGTGCTTGCGCTGTTGTTGTATGGTTCCCCTTTCGCAGCCTCCCGATCAGCATCGCCATTCTTCCCCATGATCTCCGGGCGTCGCGGTTTTCCGCCACCACCAGCGCTTCTGCGCCTCATGGTTTCTCGCTGCCCAGCGCCCCTCTTCCGGATCGATCCGGCCCCAGGAGTGCCGCGGATCGACGGGGTCCAGGGCTCCAGCGGTGCAGTCCTACACGACGTGAACTCGTTCACCGCGTTGTGCGGGAGGAGGCCCGCGGCGCCCCGCACACGAGCGGGCCGCGCGGATCGTCCAGAATTCCGGTGCTCTGGCGCCGCGCCCGCAGCACCATCGGGCGGTGCCCATGCGAGGGAGTCATTCGTGCTTCGTGCTTTTGCTCGTGGCGTCGGACCTCGGGGGAACTGCACGTCCTCCTGGTCCCCCTGGCGCTTCTGGTGCCCCTCCCCTTCTCCTCCTGCTGCTCCTGGCCTCGCGGGCGCCCGCGGCTGCGTGGAGGAGCGTGCTCGGTGACCCTCGGGACGCGCGTGGGCCCAGCACCCCGCTCGGCCCGTGTCGGCCCTCGCTGCACCTCCTCCGTCTGTATTGCAGGGCGTCGGCGGACCAGCACACGTCGGCGCCAACGCACGTCCTGAGGATCCTCCGCGTGCGGTCGCGGGGCGCCGCAGGCGCGGGCCGCGGCGCGCACGCCTCCGCGGGGCGCGCCGTTGCTCGGGTCGCGCCCGCGCGCGCGAGCCCCCCGCCGCGCCCGCGCGCGCCGCGCGGGGAGCCAGGGCCCGACGGAGCCAGCGGAGGGCGCGGGGGCTGGCGAGGGCGCGCCGGCGGCGCGCACGAGGGAGGCGGCGGGAGCGTGGGGTGGGGGGCCTTCGGGGCTCGGGGGCCTTCTTGGAAGCTCCCCCTTCGCGCCACCCCCTTTGCACGCTTCGCCAGGCTCGGGCGTCGCGGAGCCTGGCTGGAGCATGTCCGATTGGAGCCTGGGGGCTCCGTCCGTTGGGCCCCTGATTGAGCGCAGCGCCTCTCTCGGTTTGACGTTCGTTCCAGTGGGAGCAAGTCCGCTTGGAGCCGAGAATCTCTATCTGATGGCATCCAACTGGGCCCAGCCTCTTCCGAGAGGGCCCGCGGTCAGCGACATACAGATCGCAGAGGTGTGTGTGTGTGTGTGTGTGTGTGTGCGGCGCCACCGGCTGCGACGCGGCCGTGGCCGGGTCGTTCTCACAATTTCTCCAGCGCCGTGACAAAGTGCGGAGGGTATTCGGCTATTTTCGGCCTCTGGGGGGTGGGCTTCTGGGCTCCAGGATCGTCAAGCCGATCCATGGCGAAAACTTGGGGCTCCCAGGGCCTTCTGTGATTGAGCTACCTAGTCTGCACACGCAGATTCACATTTCAACGCTTAATACAAGGGCAACATTTGCCAGCATGGACCCCAAACGTTGCATCGGTGCGCGCTGAATGTGCGCTGTACGTGGTGCAAACTATGTGGCTCACTCTACGTGGTGCAACCCATGTGTTGCAAGCTGCGTGGATTGTGCAGTTTTTTTTTTTTTGTGGGCACGAATGAGTTTCAACTCCTCCGCTCGCGCAAACATCCCACGCTCCCACCCACAACTTGTCTGACAAAACCCATTCGGCCACGACTGCGGCGACAAATTGGCACTTGCTAGCGCATCTTTCTGGCCGCGCTGGCGCACGCACGTTCGTGCGCAAAGCGGCCAGCTGGTTTGGCACAACTGATGCGGCCGAGATGGCACTTACCGATAGGGACACCCCAGCGCGCCTCACAGGCCGGCGCTGTCGCGTGGGCACTTCATCGCCAATCGGTGCCCCAGGCGGGCGCGAGATCATGATGACGTAGACAACGGTGGGATGATAGTGGCGATGATAACGATGGCAACGGCAAGGCCAATGATGGCGCGGATGCTGGTGACGACGATGACGAGGATGACGTCCATGCGTCGGTGATGTAGATGGTCGCGCTGATGATAGTGGCACTAGCGGCGGTTGACGACTACGATAACGACAGTGATGTGATTGTGCGGATGACGGTGATGACAAAGGGCGCGCACGCGCAGAAATTCAAGAAACCGGTTAAACTTGGTTGAGCAAGTACTGTTTCAAGTGTTATTGCAAAGCTCCAAATTGAAATGCTTTGAAAATAAACCGTACCGGAAGGATCTCGAATCGCGCGCGTGGCAGCGCGCTCACCTGGTCTGCGTGGTATTTGTGTTCAAGCATTGTGTCCTTGAGTGGAGTTCTATTACTTTTCTGAGGAACTGGACTGGTGCGCCGCTCTGGCGGCTATGTTGCTTCCGTGGCCGCCCAGTCCCCTCCTCGCCGCCCGTAGTTTTCGGTTGGTGTGCCACTTTTGCAGCTTTGTTGCCGCCGTCGCCGCACTGTCGCCGCCTCGTCGCCGCCTCGTCGCCGCCCGTCGTCTGGGCCGGTGTACCGCCCTGGCGGCTATGTTACCGTCGTCTCCGACCCGTCGCCCCCTCATCGCCGCCCGTCTTCGGGGCCAGTGTGCCGCTCTGGCGGCTATGGTGTTGCCGTCGCCGCCTCGTCGCCGCCACAGAGGTTGCTCCACACAGATTGCGCAATGTAGATTGCATTACATATAATGCACAAAAGAATTGCACAACATCGGTTGCACCGTTCACATTTTCCCATACAGATTGCACATCACGTATTGCAACACATGTTTTACACCACTCAGATTGCACAGCGTGGGTTGCAGAGTCTATCATGGACAACATATGTCGCACAATATGTATCGCACCACGTAGAAGATTCGACTACACATATTGATCCACATCGACCGCGTCACACAGATCGCACCACATGTATTGCACCACGTAAATTGCTCCGCACTAATCGCGCCACAGAATTTGCGCAACATCGGTTGCACAATATAGAGTGTACCGCACATATTGCACCACATACACTTCACAATATCCCTTGTTTTGCACCACGTAAATTGTCCCACGTAGAATTCAGGATCTACCTCCCCCCCAGACTGAACGGCCTGCCCTTTTGCATTCCAATATCATCTGAAATCCTGGCCTATCATCCATTCTAAAGCTGAGTCCATGCCATCCCAAGCCAAGCAGTTTCGTATCTGCCCCGCTCCCCCATCCTCTGCTTCAAAGACTATGAGCGCGCACTTGTTCACCGAACGTCGCCAGTTCCCAAGAATGCGTTGCAACAGGGGGGCGAAATTCACACGCGCACCGGCTCGTGCGCATGCCGAACCATGGTCAAATCCCCCAGGCCCCGCAATAAGTTCAATGCAAAGTGTCCCGACCACATATGTATCACATGGTGTTGCAACAAGAGTCTTCACGGAAAAAGCTTGTTCGCGGTTTTGTGGATTCTTAAAAGCATAAGTTGTCCGACGCCCTCGCCAAACACTACCAAGCGTGCCTTTCGCGCGCGCGCATGTCGAAATCAATCGAACGCCACTGCGCGCGTGCTGTCGGGGGAAAAAAAGCGTTGCACTGATAGGACGGAGCGCGCGCGGTCGCGTCGTCGCGCGCGCATGCCGAAATATTGTAACACAAACTTCGGTTGTCGCTCGGAATTCGAGACCCACTGCCCCGAAAACCGATAAAACACATGGCTTTGTGACATCAGCTTTCAGAAAGAATTATGCGCTCGCGCTCTTGCGGATTCTTAAGAAAACCGTCATTCTTCCAACATGTTCATCAACCTGGTCTTCTTCCTCCTCCTCCTCCTTCTGGCCCTCCTCCTGGTCTACCTGTTCCTGTTTCCTCGCCCTCGAGACTTCTCCAGTGCTCGGGCCTCGCAATCCTGGTGGCGACAAGCGTCCATGCGCGCCGCGCCCCGACGACGGGCGCGACGCGCCCCCTCGCGAGCGCCGCATTAGGGGCAGAGCCCGCTGCGGCGCGGCGGCGCCACCGTGGTAGAGACCACCGCGGCGCGCGGCGAGGGGGCAGCGCACGGGCCTGACACCCCTGGACGCAAAGCCACCGTCGCACCCAACGCGCGCAACGCGGCGCGCCAGGTGTGGGTGGGTGGGGAAACCCAACAAGTAGCGGGCTTGCGCGCGCCTGCGGCACAAGCGATCGCCTGCGCGGCGCCGCGGCGCGCGCGCGCCCCCCGACGGGCCTCGCGCGCGCTTGCGAGCCCCGCCTGCGCAGCGGCGCAGCGACGGCGCGCGCGCGCGCGCTCGGGCCCCTCCCCGCGCGCGCGCCTGCCGCAGGACGCGCGCCGCGCGCGTCGCCTGCTGGCCGCGCGCGGCCCCCCGCTGCCCCCCCAGCGGATTGTGCTCGCGAACAAGCGAGCTGGCGCGCCCACCGCAATCCTGGCGGCGACAAGCGCCCAGGCGCGTCACGCCCCGATGATGGGTGCGACGCGCCCCCTCGCGAGCGCCGCATTAGGGGCGGAGCCCGCTGCGGCGCGGCGGCGCCGCCGCGGTAGACACCGCCGCGGCGCGCGGCGAGGGGGCAGCGCACGGGCCTGACACCCATTGCGAACCCGAGCGCTGCCGCCGACGACGCCGGACCCCCAATGCAAGTTGCGCGCGACGGCAGCCGCGCGCGCGGAAACATGGTCCGCAGAGGGGGCGCGCGCGGAAACGTGGTCCGCTGAGGCCGACTCAAGAGACGGCGGGCGCGGATGCCGGCGACGCCGCTTCCCTGGT